TTCTCTACATTTTACGTTTTCGATTACCTTGTCTCAGAATAATGTGAAATCTGACTTTCTTTCACGCTACTGTTGTTTTGAAATCCTGAGTGACAGTTCAACATCAGGATTTTGAAACACAAAAATGTCAAAACATATATTATTCAGGGAAAAAATTATGACCATAAGCGGTCCTTCTTTTCTATGAAAAGAAAAAAAAAAAAAAAAAAAAGCAAAATTTAAGGATATTTCTTGATAACTTTTGTTGGAACAATAATTAATCCACCCCCACTTGTTGGATATGACATGATTATAACCAACCTTCACTATACAGAAAATGCGCAGAAAATGTGTTGCATGTGATATTACCTTCAACCGACCTCTTGTCACTGTATAAAACTTTGTTGAGTACTGTCTTCCCTCTTCTTCACCCCCTCCTGCCAGGGCTTGTCTTTCAGCGGTAAGCTGTTCCACTGGTGACTTGTTCTACCTGTAAATTGGTGGGAGTGGTAAGGTAATCATTTCACAAGGGTGATTGGATATACTAGATCTCTGTTGGTGATTTGGAGGGAACATTAATTTTGTACACTTCCACGCTACTTCATGAAAATGAAATTATTTAAATTTGTTATGTTTCAGCGAAAGTGGGAAAGTGAGTCATTACATCATCAACAGTATAGGCACTGGTTATAAAATAGGAGAGAACACCTTTCCCGACCTACATAGTATTATAGAATTTTACAAGAATCATTTTCTGGATTCTACAAACTTAACAGAACCGGTAAGTACAACATGAGTCTGTAACGTGGCAAGAGTACAAAGCAAATACAATTAAACCTCTCATTACAGATGTCTCCATAATACAGACACCTTTATATTAAGGACAGTTAATTTAATCCCAGACAAAACAGAATTCATGTAATCTCTTCCTGTATAATACAGCCATTTCTATAATACGGCCATGTCCATTATATGGACACTCATGTCTGTCCCTTTGGTGTCTGTATCAAAGAGGTTTGACTGTACAAGTTAGAGTTTGCTCAAAATATTAGCTTGCATTGGCCTAAAGTCTTATTTGATTGGCAGTAGTGATGAAAACTTAAAAACTAAATACTCATGACTATTCCTTCGCAACCATTATGGGAGTTGCATTCCAAGTAATGGCTGCCAACCCCAGTAGCAGCTGCAAAGGAGACCACATCAAGACTTAAGGACATGTAAAACATAGACAGCTATGTTCCCGTGTCTTAACACAGATCACTGTGTAACATATACACACAATTCATTGAGAATCCCTGAAAAGGGTTTTTAGCATAATGTCGTAATCCCATGTACAGTTTTCATAGGCATCCTGTCCACATATTTTTGCAACAGAGGCTGAACTGTTTAAAATTTGTTTTGTTGAATATAAATTAAAACTGGCTTTCGATTAAACATTCATTACTGGAGCTTGTCAAATTGAAACACAGAAAAAGAGCAGTGTTCAAGACTCCTACTGTATACTAACCTGTATACTAACTTGTCTCTTTTTTCTGATTGACAGCTGTTTAGAGTACAAGCTCAGTATCCATTTACAGGAAAGGTATGTTTACTGCCTGGTAAATTAGCTAAATGAACCTTGTTTTTTCTGATTATTTTTTGATTATCTGAACTCTCAGTAGCTGTTGTTGCAGTTATCAGGGGCTTGACACACAAATGAGGCAAAAGGGTCAATTCTGCATTGTATTGACCCTTTCACCTTGTTTGTATGCCTTTCAAAACAAAAAAATATTTGACTGCAGGCTCGACTGCAATAACAACTATTATTGTTTATTTATTTATTTATTAAGCTTCGGCCTACTATTAACATATTTTAGTGGGTGCCGGTGAGTCTGAATAATCAAGTTTTGATCTTAGTATAATCTTATTACCAAGAACATCTTTGGAACATTTTAAAAGTATTTTTCAACATTTACTTGTTGTGAAATTGAAGCAACAGCTGCAATGATGCATATGTCCTTTTGTAACCTCCAAATTTATTGTTGCTGGAGTTAGGGAGGGCTCTTACTGGAGGTAAAACAACTTCGTTAAAAGAAGGAACCAATGTCAGTTTGTATAACAAATACCTTGTGAATGCAGTGAAGGGCTGTCATTAAGTTTTGGGTCACCTGTCAGTTGCCTTGATCTTACAAACCAGAACAAACTTGTTGTTTTGTGAGTGAAGTGTATCAAGAACAGGCAAATTCACCATCCAGGGCCCATCAAACATACTAAACTGTAAAAGGTGCTCCAGGCTATGACCTTTGATATCATCCCTGCAAATACTATCACACTGACCTGGCTTGAAGTCAAATATTTTGAGAAATGAAGAGATCCGATTTCACCATGGCTACCTTGTGCTTAAACTACCCAAAGAAACGTCTTTTCCAAACCAAGCATTAGAGGAGTCTGATGTTTTGTCAGATCCAGCTGAAGGCCTTTTGTATATACATTTGTGACAAGTTCCTATGAATGTTTCAATCATGTACAGGATGCGGAGGACCTCAGTTTCAAAAAAGGCGATATTTTAGTTGTTGTGGAACAAAACGAGGAGAAGTGGTGGACTGCTATGGATGAACAAGGCAACAAAGGCCTTATTCCAGAACCATATGTTAAAAAGGTCTGTACTACAGTCACATGCTCTGCCATCCTCTGTGGTAGAAATTTGAGCTGAAAATTCTTGACTGATCCAATCAGCCGGAGGCAAAACATCTCAGAATACTTCATGTGTGCTATCCAATCACAATTTACTAGCCAACCCTATTGTAGTGCATGGAATCATTATGTTTTTCAAGCTATTGTTGAGAAGGTTTTGGAACTGAGAAAACAGTTGGAAGCACAATATGATGTAAAATTGTTTTCTTAAGAGATACAATGGTCTGCATTATTATTTAGAGTCTAGCTTTTCTGATTGTTTTTGTCCCTAAATTTTGTCTTCTCCATTCTCCAATTTACCCTTGCACTTTGTAATGAAAGATTATTGTTTTTGTTGAAAATTTATGAGAGGGATCGTACGAATACTGCTGGGACAGACGAAATTCAAGGTCACCCTTATGAAGGAAAATTGAATTTTTATCAGGGACTGTTCATTATCTGATAATTGTTTGGTTTGTAACAGCAACTGGGCTTGGATATTGTATGGGCAAATTAAAAAAAAAAAAATTAAAATTTTTAATACACCAAAAAGATACTAGACACCTGTGCTGATCAGTCCATCTTTGACTTTCAGCTTGTCGATCTTCAGCCACAACAGCAGCCAGTGTCTCCTGCACAGTCGACTGTTCTTTCCAACCTGGGAAATGACCAAAGAAGATCAATGCCTCCGCCGACAACTACAACACCAGACAATAGTAACAGAAGAACGTCCGTACCTCCCAATATGAGACCGCACCCATCGGTACAGTTTGTGTTTGTGTGACTTTCAATTGTCATGTCTTATAACCAGTAGTATCCAGAAACTGATATGAATTTTTAGTGGACTTTTGAATGGAAAGTATGCGTAGTGTTAGATTTACTTAGATTGACTGTTGTGAGTTGGAGATAGCCAATTCCTTGAATAACTAACTTTATTTTCTTTTATGTCAGCCCGCTTTCATGGGAGGATCCATGTTAGTGCGTGCCACACGAAAACATCTGATGCCATACGATGACTCAACACTCGCTTTTGAGGTGAAATTATAGTGATATTAATAATTTTACTGTAAATGTGCCACTTCCCTCTTTTGGAGAAAATTTTCCTGTAGGCTTGGGCTCAATATTGGAGACTCTGTTAGTTGTATGCCTGTTGCAAGTAACAGTTCTTACCGGTGGTTTGCAGGGGGAAGATGTGAGGGCAACATTGTAATACAAGTGTTTTGTTATAAATAAAACGTTGTTACAGCTACAGAAAATGGCTGTGCCCACCCCAGGAAAGTTGTTAGAAATTCTGAGGGATACATGGGGAGGGGGAGGGGTGTCAAATGCCATAATATTTAAAGGAAGGTTTGGAACACGAAGCAGGGTTGAAACTAGACAAACTGCCAAGGGGGTTGGTTTGTAGGGGGGGTATGCATGCTTTCTTTAACAACACAATCCTTATTTTGTACCTTGCCTTGTTTTGCAGAAAGGAGATATCATCACGGTTCTCAAGAAACAGGATAATGGAAAGTGGTTTGGTCAGCTTGGTGACAGAACAGGATACTTCCAGTTTAACTATGTGGAGAGTATACCACAAAGTGAAAATCCAGATTGAAAAGAATTGGTGCCACAACTAAATGTAACTACTGTTGAAAATTAGGATTAGATGTAACTAGGACTTTACTGTCAATCAACTGTCAATTATCTGGGAATGTCAAATGTAATAGGCCCTGTTCAGGCAGTGTGAGCCTAATTGGTAATCTTAGGGTGATTTTCATTTATCAGGTCTGGCTGTTGTAATGAATGTTTCACAAGATAACATTGCTGATCTCTGAACCTCAAAAATGTGGCTGTAGTGGTTAGAGACCATCTTGGCTCCATATTAGCGTGGGGAGCAGAGAGATGCCCAGTGAGAAATTATATATTCTAGGTTCCATGAGGTGCTCTTTTCTGTGTTGTGAAAACTTTGTAACCAAACATCTGGGTTTAGAATGACAGATTTCAAATTTTCTAACATCAAAACCTTCTCCCCTCTTCTGCAAAGAAAAACAAAAAATAAGTATATTTGTCTCTAGGGAAGAACATTTGATTGAAGGTGTAAGCTCAGCTGCCAGCTTTGGAACAGAACTAAAATTCAATACAGAATTCTTCATTTCACTTGTCATTACAACAATCATCTTTTGAACTATCAAGACCTGACAAATGATAAGCACTCTTTGACCACTTTCCAAGAAATTGTTGGTGTCACATACAAAAGTTGTGGACTATTTGTGATTGTTGAGAAATTTAAGTGCTGTAATGTAAAAAGCAACCAAGATATGGCACATTCAAGCACTTTGATAATAAAGACAGCTTATTCTAGCAGACCGGAAAGTTTTAGTTAGAATATTGATTGTGAGAAATCCATCTGTTGTCGTGTAAAAAGGCCCAAGTAACTATTTTATAGAGGTACTCCTTAATAATAATGTACTCTTAAAACTTGTGAAGCCACTTAAGTTGACCTGATTATAAAGCTGATCTCTTCTTAAATTGTTGTCAGAGTAGCCATTTAACTCTTACAGTCATTGCTTTCTTATCTGTACCTTAAAGCCAAAAAGCAATCAAGTATAAACATGGTCTTCCTGAAGGAGATTAAGGGTTCATTTGCCAAATGCTTTGCTAACTGTTTTCTTGATCGTTTGGACATCTTTTTTTTTCTTTCTGTGTTCGTCGTGGGCAACATATAAGGCTAACTGTTGATACAAAAATAATGAAATATTATCACAAGTAAAACACATTCAGAGAAGTTTAGTGCTCTTTATAATGTCCCTTTGTGATGTGAATTACAAATGGAATTTGATGCTGACATTTTCATAGTGTACATAGCTTGACATTAAGTTTTGACACCACTTTGCACTGGAAAATTTGCTTTCAAGTGGATGAGTGTGAGAGTCAAGCTGCTGTTATGTCAATCTGTCGATGACGTGTTAAGAAAACAGTAATGGATGAATGAATGAATGCAACTGAATATGCTGTTCTTGAAGTGCGTGTAACTGATTACTGCTGGTCAATGATTACAACTAAATATGCATTTCCCAGATTCTTCTGTGTACATGCTGGTAGAACTTGTGGATTATGATGGCCTGGGATGCACATTTATTGATGCACCCTTAATTTTATACGGTCAGAGAGATGTTACGTCAAGCATCAAAATTCTTGAGCAGTAGAATTTCTGTAAATCTATTGCTTAGTGATGTTGACAATTTCTTGATGTTGCTATCAGTAGACTAAGTGATGCTAGACAAACAAAATGATATGTAGAACACAATAAGCCACTTCCTGATTACACTTCAGCTTCTTTCTTGAAGCGTGTCTTCATGCCCATCCTTTCATATGAAAATGAGATTTCATTCACATGCAAATTAAACTTGTTTTCTAATGAATGGCTGTGCACCAGGCCTCGCTTTGATAGAGAGGCTTAGATCAACTTGGAAATGGGCTTTTGCTAAGTCCTGGTTTACACATACAAAGCAAGCACAAGCAGCATATGTGCAGATGGAGAAACATTTAGTTAAGGCAATAATAAACGACACATCACCACATCTGCTTATAATTCTTGCTCTTATGCTTGGGTTGTTTGTGCAAAGCAGCCCTAACTAACAATAATATTATTTGTATATTAATACCTGTCTCAATTCTGCTTATCTTTCTCCTCTATGCCACCATAAACCCTGTGAAATTTCAGTAACTAGTATTGCTTCATTGTATTCTTGTTCTTAAAGTAATTCAATTTGATTCATGCTTTAACCTGCATCATTGAGTTACATTTATGATGCATGTGGGATGTTTGGAGTGCATGGAAGAAGCTTAAGAGTTGTTGCTTGAGGCAACAGCAACAACATCTAGCCTCTTGGGTACTCTCCAAACTTCCTAAGTGCATCATAACTTGATCGTGCATTGCTAAATACATGAATCAATTTTTTTATGCCATTGCCAATAGAAATAAAATAATTTCTCTCGTAAAGTGAAGTTAACTTTGCGTACTCCGATCCAGCATGCACCAATGGATTATGCCGAGNTTCTCTACATTTTACGTTTTCGATTACCTTGTCTCAGAATAATGTGAAATCTGACTTTCTTTCACGCTACTGTTGTTTTGAAATCCTGAGTGACAGTTCAACATCAGGATTTTGAAACACAAAAATGTCAAAACATATATTATTCAGGGAAAAAATTATGACCATAAGCGGTCCTTCTTTTCTATGAAAAGAAAAAAAAAAAAAAAAAAAAGCAAAATTTAAGGATATTTCTTGATAACTTTTGTTGGAACAATAATTAATCCACCCCCACTTGTTGGATATGACATGATTATAACCAACCTTCACTATACAGAAAATGCGCAGAAAATGTGTTGCATGTGATATTACCTTCAACCGACCTCTTGTCACTGTATAAAACTTTGTTGAGTACTGTCTTCCCTCTTCTTCACCCCCTCCTGCCAGGGCTTGTCTTTCAGCGGTAAGCTGTTCCACTGGTGACTTGTTCTACCTGTAAATTGGTGGGAGTGGTAAGGTAATCATTTCACAAGGGTGATTGGATATACTAGATCTCTGTTGGTGATTTGGAGGGAACATTAATTTTGTACACTTCCACGCTACTTCATGAAAATGAAATTATTTAAATTTGTTATGTTTCAGCGAAAGTGGGAAAGTGAGTCATTACATCATCAACAGTATAGGCACTGGTTATAAAATAGGAGAGAACACCTTTCCCGACCTACATAGTATTATAGAATTTTACAAGAATCATTTTCTGGATTCTACAAACTTAACAGAACCGGTAAGTACAACATGAGTCTGTAACGTGGCAAGAGTACAAAGCAAATACAATTAAACCTCTCATTACAGATGTCTCCATAATACAGACACCTTTATATTAAGGACAGTTAATTTAATCCCAGACAAAACAGAATTCATGTAATCTCTTCCTGTATAATACAGCCATTTCTATAATACGGCCATGTCCATTATATGGACACTCATGTCTGTCCCTTTGGTGTCTGTATCAAAGAGGTTTGACTGTACAAGTTAGAGTTTGCTCAAAATATTAGCTTGCATTGGCCTAAAGTCTTATTTGATTGGCAGTAGTGATGAAAACTTAAAAACTAAATACTCATGACTATTCCTTCGCAACCATTATGGGAGTTGCATTCCAAGTAATGGCTGCCAACCCCAGTAGCAGCTGCAAAGGAGACCACATCAAGACTTAAGGACATGTAAAACATAGACAGCTATGTTCCCGTGTCTTAACACAGATCACTGTGTAACATATACACACAATTCATTGAGAATCCCTGAAAAGGGTTTTTAGCATAATGTCGTAATCCCATGTACAGTTTTCATAGGCATCCTGTCCACATATTTTTGCAACAGAGGCTGAACTGTTTAAAATTTGTTTTGTTGAATATAAATTAAAACTGGCTTTCGATTAAACATTCATTACTGGAGCTTGTCAAATTGAAACACAGAAAAAGAGCAGTGTTCAAGACTCCTACTGTATACTAACCTGTATACTAACTTGTCTCTTTTTTCTGATTGACAGCTGTTTAGAGTACAAGCTCAGTATCCATTTACAGGAAAGGTATGTTTACTGCCTGGTAAATTAGCTAAATGAACCTTGTTTTTTCTGATTATTTTTTGATTATCTGAACTCTCAATAGCTGTTATTGCAGTTATCAGTGGCTTGACACACAAATGAGGCAAAAGGGTCAATTCTGCATTGTACTGACCCTTTCACCTCGTTTGGATGCCTTTTAAAACAAAAAAATATTTGACCGCAGGCTTGACTGCAATAACAACTATTATTGGGGAGACTATTTTAGTGGGTGCCAGTGAGTCTGAATAATCAAGTTTTGATCTTAGTATAATCTTATTACCAAGAACATCTTTGGAACGTTTTTAAAAGTATTTTTCAACATTTACTTGTTGTGAAATTGAAGCAACAGCCACAATGATGCATATGTCCTTTTGTAACCTCCAAATTTATTGTTGCTGGAGTTAGGGAGGGCTCTTACTGGAGGTAAAACAACTTCGTTAAAAGAAGGAACCAATGTCAGTTTGTATAACAAATACCTTGTGAATGCAGTGAAGGGCTGTCATTAAGTTTTGGGTCACCTGTCAGTTGCCTTGATCTTACAAACCAGAACAAACTTGTTGTTTTGTGAGTGAAGTGTATCAAGAACAGGCAAATTCACCATCCAGGGCCCATCAAACATACTAAACTGTAAAAGGTGCTCCAGGCTATGACCTTTGATATCATCCCTGCAAATACTATCACACTGACCTGGCTTGAAGTCAAATATTTTGAGAAATGAAGAGATCCGATTTCACCATGGCTACCTTGTGCTTAAACTACCCAAAGAAACGTCTTTTCCAAACCAAGCATTAGAGGAGTCTGATGTTTTGTCAGATCCAGCTGAAGGCCTTTTGTATATACATTTGTGACAAGTTCCTATGAATGTTTCAATCATGTACAGGATGCGGAGGACCTCAGTTTCAAAAAAGGCGATATTTTAGTTGTTGTGGAACAAAACGAGGAGAAGTGGTGGACTGCTATGGATGAACAAGGCAACAAAGGCCTTATTCCAGAACCATATGTTAAAAAGGTCTGTACTACAGTCACATGCTCTGCCATCCTCTGTGGTAGAAATTTGAGCTGAAAATTCTTGACTGATCCAATCAGCCGGAGGCAAAACATCTCAGAATACTTCATGTGTGCTATCCAATCACAATTTACTAGCCAACCCTATTGTAGTGCATGGAATCATTATGTTTTTCAAGCTATTGTTGAGAAGGTTTTGGAACTGAGAAAACAGTTGGAAGCACAATATGATGTAAAATTGTTTTCTTAAGAGATACAATGGTCTGCATTATTATTTAGAGTCTAGCTTTTCTGATTGTTTTTGTCCCTAAATTTTGTCTTCTCCATTCTCCAATTTACCCTTGCACTTTGTAATGAAAGATTATTGTTTTTGTTGAAAATTTATGAGAGGGATCGTACGAATACTGCTGGGACAGACGAAATTCAAGGTCACCCTTATGAAGGAAAATTGAATTTTTATCAGGGACTGTTCATTATCTGATAATTGTTTGGTTTGTAACAGCAACTGGGCTTGGATATTGTATGGGCAAATTAAAAAAAAAAAAATTAAAATTTTTAATACACCAAAAAGATACTAGACACCTGTGCTGATCAGTCCATCTTTGACTTTCAGCTTGTCGATCTTCAGCCACAACAGCAGCCAGTGTCTCCTGCACAGTCGACTGTTCTTTCCAACCTGGGAAATGACCAAAGAAGATCAATGCCTCCGCCGACAACTACAACACCAGACAATAGTAACAGAAGAACGTCCGTACCTCCCAATATGAGACCGCACCCATCGGTACAGTTTGTGTTTGTGTGACTTTCAATTGTCATGTCTTATAACCAGTAGTATCCAGAAACTGATATGAATTTTTAGTGGACTTTTGAATGGAAAGTATGCGTAGTGTTAGATTTACTTAGATTGACTGTTGTGAGTTGGAGATAGCCAATTCCTTGAATAACTAACTTTATTTTCTTTTATGTCAGCCCGCTTTCATGGGAGGATCCATGTTAGTGCGTGCCACACGAAAACATCTGATGCCATACGATGACTCAACACTCGCTTTTGAGGTGAAATTATAGTGATATTAATAATTTTACTGTAAATGTGCCACTTCCCTCTTTTGGAGAAAATTTTCCTGTAGGCTTGGGCTCAATATTGGAGACTCTGTTAGTTGTATGCCTGTTGCAAGTAACAGTTCTTACCGGTGGTTTGCAGGGGGAAGATGTGAGGGCAACATTGTAATACAAGTGTTTTGTTATAAATAAAACGTTGTTACAGCTACAGAAAATGGCTGTGCCCACCCCAGGAAAGTTGTTAGAAATTCTGAGGGATACATGGGGAGGGGGAGGGGTGTCAAATGCCATAATATTTAAAGGAAGGTTTGGAACACGAAGCAGGGTTGAAACTAGACAAACTGCCAAGGGGGTTGGTTTGTAGGGGGGGTATGCATGCTTTCTTTAACAACACAATCCTTATTTTGTACCTTGCCTTGTTTTGCAGAAAGGAGATATCATCACGGTTCTCAAGAAACAGGATAATGGAAAGTGGTTTGGTCAGCTTGGTGACAGAACAGGATACTTCCAGTTTAACTATGTGGAGAGTATACCACAAAGTGAAAATCCAGATTGAAAAGAATTGGTGCCACAACTAAATGTAACTACTGTTGAAAATTAGGATTAGATGTAACTAGGACTTTACTGTCAATCAACTGTCAATTATCTGGGAATGTCAAATGTAATAGGCCCTGTTCAGGCAGTGTGAGCCTAATTGGTAATCTTAGGGTGATTTTCATTTATCAGGTCTGGCTGTTGTAATGAATGTTTCACAAGATAACATTGCTGATCTCTGAACCTCAAAAATGTGGCTGTAGTGGTTAGAGACCATCTTGGCTCCATATTAGCGTGGGGAGCAGAGAGATGCCCAGTGAGAAATTATATATTCTAGGTTCCATGAGGTGCTCTTTTCTGTGTTGTGAAAACTTTGTAACCAAACATCTGGGTTTAGAATGACAGATTTCAAATTTTCTAACATCAAAACCTTCTCCCCTCTTCTGCAAAGAAAAACAAAAAATAAGTATATTTGTCTCTAGGGAAGAACATTTGATTGAAGGTGTAAGCTCAGCTGCCAGCTTTGGAACAGAACTAAAATTCAATACAGAATTCTTCATTTCACTTGTCATTACAACAATCATCTTTTGAACTATCAAGACCTGACAAATGATAAGCACTCTTTGACCACTTTCCAAGAAATTGTTGGTGTCACATACAAAAGTTGTGGACTATTTGTGATTGTTGAGAAATTTAAGTGCTGTAATGTAAAAAGCAACCAAGATATGGCACATTCAAGCACTTTGATAATAAAGACAGCTTATTCTAGCAGACCGGAAAGTTTTAGTTAGAATATTGATTGTGAGAAATCCATCTGTTGTCGTGTAAAAAGGCCCAAGTAACTATTTTATAGAGGTACTCCTTAATAATAATGTACTCTTAAAACTTGTGAAGCCACTTAAGTTGACCTGATTATAAAGCTGATCTCTTCTTAAATTGTTGTCAGAGTAGCCATTTAACTCTTACAGTCATTGCTTTCTTATCTTGTATTCCCAGTCACTTCACATTATGGTGCAACATAAGAGCCATTAATGCTAAATTTCTTATCTGTTGTTGTTGTCTTCATCCTCAGGTGTCCGTACGTCCCAGAGAACACACACAATATGAACGGTTCATTCTGTCTGCCTACCCATACTACGCTAGTGCCTTTTCTATGATGATAGGGTTGTTTATCTTCAGCCTGGTGTTTTTGCACCATCGAGATGAAGGGAAAAGCAAGGCTGAATGACCTTGTACTCAAAGGCACTTCATGGCCTTGAGCTAGTAGTTTGTAGAATTTTTTATTCAATAAAATTCATAACTTGTTAACTTGCCCTGTGTATGTCAATATTCAAAATTTACAACTCACTGGTGATATGTAGGCTTCCTAAGAGTTCCTTCTACTATTAGTAGAGCTGGGCTGCCAAGAAGAGCACCATAAGCATAGGAAATACACCACATGCATGTACCCTATGCACACCCTACAACAACGTGCAACATGGCAGCCAAACTCCATGGCATGCAGCCTTGATTTACAGCGCACATCTTTGATATGGCAGGAACTTCATGGTAGGAAAGATAGTCACCTTCCCCTTTGCCCCATAAATGCTAATCGCAAGCAAACGGCAGTAAATAAATGCTAACTGCAAGCAAACACAGTATATAAATGCTAACTGCAAGCAAACACAGTATATAAGAGCAAACTGCAGGGCAACTATATGGGTGGCCTACCATGAATTATATGCCCTTTGATATTGGACATCCATGTTATGGTCAATTGACACCTGTCAAATCAAGGTATCTGCTGACCAGTATCATGTGACCATACTGTGGGCTCAGGTTTAGACCTCATTGAGGCCGCATGTTTTTTGGAAGTTTACCGTTGCCCAGATACTGGTTTTCAGTTGGATCACAGCCTCAAGCACGGTTGTAATTCTTGGGGAGGAGGGGGTACATACAAAGGCTTAATTTCAGGGCAAATTAACCCCTGGTTTGTTCATATTCACAAAACATGAAAAAGAGTAGACTAGTTTGTTACTTCTAAAAAAGTCAAAAAATTAGGCATGCTTTAGTTGATAGTCTCCTTTTTGTCGAGTCTTCAACTGGAAAGAATAGTGAAACCACCTGCCAAAAATTAACATAACAAACAGAAAAAGTGTTCAAAGGATTCTGGTAGTTGTAGTCAAATGACACCATGCAAATTGCCTATTAGGAACTCCACTTTTAGGCTTGGCTACATGTGACATGTGTTAGGGCAATGCCTCACGCAATATCCACTCTCCCCTCCCACACCACCAACACAAAATATCCAACCCTCCCCCTTAGGCAGCAGCACTTCATGCATTCCTCCAAACACTGGCTTTCGAAACCCTCCCTGTCAACCTTCCTCGGGGTGCATACATTACACACTACACAATCAGACAATTAAAATAACTGCAGACAAAATGTTCTTTTCTCTCAATTCCTACAAAGTATTTACAGCATTGCAAATTGAAAATGAACCTACAGGGCCTAATATAAACCTTTAATGCCAGTTACATTTTAATTTAATATGCCTTTGTCAAGGAAACACACGACCCCTGTGAAGTGTCAATTAAATTTGATCAAAAAATACAGCGAGATATTTCACTAGTACATTGTCAGAATTACCTTCTAGTCGCCGAGGACTAATGCAAAATATTCATACAACCCATTCATAATATTTCAGGGTTTCTCGTTATGGATGGCATCCACAATAGTCTGTTCCATTGGTTAAGCTTGTGCAGAAATTATCATGCAATCTTAAAAGGATTGCATGAAAACAAATGTACCAGGTTAGCTTCACCAAAAGCTTTGCTTTCAAATGGAACTTTACATTACACCATAGCTATTAAACCCCACCTCTGCAAGGCTTTTACGGTGCATAATATTTCAACAATGTCTTTTTTCAGTAATCCCAATGCGTTGTCAGTCCTAAGCTGATTGTCAAAGATTTTTTCCAATGTTAGTTCTACAAATTCCCTTTACTGGATGACAATTTTTTCATCTATCATCAACCGACTTCTTGACAATTAAACGTGTGGAAAAAAGAGCAGACCTCTTTGTTGCCAGTTTAAGTAAAATTCAGGATTGCTACAGCCATGTGATAGTTGGCAATTCTAAATAACCCAATTAACGAAATTTCTCAATGGAGAACAGAACTCCATATCAATGGATAGATGTTCTCTCCTTGTCTTCCTTTATGAGTTTGTAGTTGTATAGATCAGATTGTGTCATTTCTCCTAACATCACTCTCTCAAGTGGACATGTGAGGAGAAGAAAGAAAATCATTGGCTTGGCGAGAGTAATTGCCTGGAAGTGTGAAGTATTGTTAAAAGAAATTTAAGATGGATTCTGCTCAAAGTTTGAGCAATAAGTGAAAAAATTATTTACTAACAATCTACTCACAGCATGGTAACTTCCTGAACACTATTTAAAACATCTCACTCAAACTAATTTCTTGTGATTAAAATCTCAAGCATTCTCAAGAAAGTTAATGTGAAACCTTGTAAGAATGCTTGATGCGTGCAAAATTGTGTTTTCAACTAACGCGAAATGTCCACTTTAATGGAAATATGGATAACTTCAAGTCATATTTTCTCTTGCGGGGTAAGCTTGAGAGCTTAAGTCTAGATAAGTTCTTTTTACATATATTCAAAACATTACCATGCTATGAGGTTTTTTAGGTAACTTTATGTTTGCCATTATTGCTCAAAATGCTCTGCAGAAATCATCTTAACATCACCTTCCATCTATGAGGATTATGCCGTCTAAGTTTGGGGCTGAAAGCGTTAAAAATAACTTTTTAAAATTATAGAACTAATTTTGCATTACAGTGTACATAACTTAATAAATCATAATGATATACGTATTATTCCAAAATGGCCACCATTTAAGTATTCTTTTGTTGACTTGCAAATTAGCCCTTTTTGCCTCGCTCTTAAATTCAAAATTCAAAAGAATATTTTCTCTTAAACAAGGCAACAAGGGCTCATTTTCAAGTAAACAAAAGAATACTAAAATGGCGGCCATTTTGAAATAAGGTGTATTATGAAACTGCTGTTTGAGTGACCTCAGCTACCAGTATGTCAAAACATAAAACATTTTACGACACATTTGAAGATGTACATGTAGTACAACATTAAAAGCAACACAGAAATAAAAGAAAATTTCTCACATAAATATTTGAAAAAAGTCACCTAACAAAGAAAATTTGAGATAGATTATGAATGAGTAACTCTAAAAATTCAGAGTTCGTATGTTATGTTTAACATCCTAAGGAACCCAGAAGAACAAATACCATAACAAAAACAGATACTTAGCAGCAGTCTCCCTGTGTTTGTGTAAGGTCTGAGAAAACCAATGTGTTGGTCAAGAAAAAAATCCATACCCACACCAAGGAAGGTCACTAAAAATTCTGAGGGGGAGGGGGTCTCAAAAGCCAAATGCTTAAAAGGGAAAGTATGAAGCTTAACTGGAAATCCAGTGGGGAGTGGGGTACAAAGAACATAACAATCCTTGGTCTGGGACAGGTACGGGATTTTAGAGAAGGGGTTTGAAAGAAGGACCACCAAAGGCAGGGTCCCGTAGGGGGGTTCAGGGGCATCCTCCCCCTGAAAATTTTTAAAATTGAGGTACTCCAAAATGGGATTTCTGGCATTCTGGGGCCAAGTCAGTGCGTTATATTAACGTCTCACTTTTTGAAATTAGGGGGTTCGACTGAACCCCTCTGAATCTGCCCCAGCTTGGTGGAGGCATGGATATCATTTTTCTAGAATCACACAATAAGACAGGATAGTACGGATATCTGGGGAACTTTTATGTTTACATGAAAGGTGAACTGTTGGTTAAAATTACCTGGAAAAGGAGGGGAACAGGTGGTGGAGGTCAGGGAATGGGATACTCCAACGCATATTAAGTCATTCAATTCTGTACTGAAATCTTCAGTTGGCTGTTTCAACTGCAACTAAGGTCTGATGTGGTCACCGGTTTGACTTTGCAAGAGACAAATACTTTGTCAGTTATTGAGATTTAAAAAATCGATGTCTGGCCTCTTTTCATTATAGTAATTTATTTAGAAGTGTGAAAGGGGAACCAAATTTAAAATAGATTTTACGGTTGGCACACACCAAGGGGCAAGTCCCTGTGACTTATCCCTGCATCAAGTTTTGGGAGCAAGGCCCTTTGTGTGCAACAGCCATTTGTGTCAAAAAAACAAGTCGCAGGGACCTAATTTTGTTCTGTGACTTGTCTGACAAATTAAAATTGGTTTGAATTCAAATTCAAATTTAAAAATACAAACTTGTTTGACAGCCAGGGGCCCATTTCTCAAAAGCCCCGAAAACTTTTTAGGCCCGCAAAGCCATTTTGAGTCAATCTGTATCTAAAAACAGACAGGTGTATATGAATGACACTCCGTGTATGAACAGAAACTCTGTGTATGAAGAGAACCTCTATTAAGAATGTGTGACAAAAACAGCTCTGTAATCATAAGGTTTGAGATTTTGCTACGAGACCTTAGAGAAATGGGCTCCAGGCCCGTGCAACTTGTCCCTCGATTCCCTTTGTATAAACTGTTTGTGGAACTACTCCCTGCAACCAAGCCCTTCACGTAAACTTGTCGCAGGAACTAGTTCCAGGGAATTGTTCCCTTGTGTGTCAATCTTTATATCTAATATGGAGTTTACTTGAAGCCCCGAGCAGTGAACATCCAAGCCCGTCTTTCCCCACTTTTGGGATTGTGCAACACGTTATACAGATACATTTACCATGCGACATAATTTAACTCCATGTATATTTAAAATATTATCTACCTCACTAGATTCTGAGGAAACCCTGAACTGTATTTTACGCAAAGGTATGAAGACGTGGATAAAAATATTAAAACGTGCATGTATGTACAAAAGGATATAAACATCAAGATACACATCTCTACCCCAACAGTGACTAATTCTTGATATTACACTTCACAGTTAAGTCCTAATTACCACATATGCTCCAATATATTATTAATAATATTTCTGTTTTGTTTCATTGCACTACCTCAGAAGAAAGAGGCGAAGTAACTGAACTAATATGTAATTATTTCCATTGCTGTGCGATTACCATACTGCATACCAAAAAGGGGCTAGGTCATGGAATTTTGCAATAATTATTTTAGGCAATTTCAGACCTGATGAAATGATCATAGAATTAACTGAAATAGCACAATTATTATGACAAGTTCAACCTGCATGACATGGATGGGTAAAATTGGACAGAATTAAAACAGATTGCATCAAGGCAAACTTGAAAACTCTTGGGACAAGGATTTTCAAGTTTATCACAAATTTGTATGAAAGCACTATTTATAATGTTCAGATATCATACTTTTTGGTTATGTGGCTGTGATTTTACCCATAAAAGACAGTTGCTCGAGCTGCCTGTTTGAAGTTTAGAGCTCATAACTAACCACAATAATATACACAGAATTAGCTACAATACCACAACCTAGCCCCTTTAACTATGCATTCCAATGTTGGCCATTTCAATCAATCAGTGTTGGGTGCTGTACGACTTTCTAAAGCCAGAGTGCTTTGCTTTATTCCTGCAATGTGATTGGCCAATATTTTTGAAGTGGCCCAGTGAGCATTTCATCGTCTTACAAAGACTGAAAGAAGTTGAACATATGAAAAGTAGTTTTTCCTTGTTAACTTTTAATGTAAATTTAGGATCCTGTACAGAGAACACTGTCCAAGTCAGTACTGGTCTGAAAGAATAGGTGGTTCCAGAGAAAGTATCCCTGATCTTTGTAACCGAGTAGGCAGTTCTTAGTTCTTAATGACCAGTCAGAAATCACAATAGCTTCCAACAATGACAACCTGCCACATAGTGCAGGAGCCCTTCCCCCACCCCCCCCACCCCCCATGAAACTGCCAACTTGATGTATTACAATTTATTACATGGCTAGCTCTGCGAGCAGGCAAGATGAATCAAATCCTGCGCTGTGATTGGGTACCCGAGCGGGCAAGATGGAGCTATCTTGCCTGCTCGGGACTACCCACCGTGTCCCGCAAGAAATATTTCCCCGAAAGCAATATAATAAATCCTTTATTGACCAAGCTTGTTCAGTCAAGGTGGCTGGATATTGGCCGAGTTCTTTTTTTGTGAGTTTATGGACCTCGACTCCATCTTGGTCCATAAGAACTCGGCCAATACCCAGCCATCTTGACCTCACACTTGGTCAATAACCCATATGTATATCTGACGAAGTCCTGAAGCTGAATGTGTCATGAAAGGTTAAAAGTGACCTAAAAGTACCTCTTTGACCTGAGGTTTAACAATCAGTGACCTTACTACATGCATGTTCCTGTCTGAGCTTTTCACCACTAGAAAAGCTGTCATGTGAATTGACTAACCCCTCAAGTGGTGTAGCCTCTGAATTAAGGTAAACAAACTGCTTTTGCCTTCAAAATTGAAGGGAAATTTATCTCTAAGAAAAAAGTTCACATTCTGGACGCAATCCTTGTTGCTCGCAGAGGTTATTGTTCAATACATCTCTGTTATGGGATATGTACTAAACTTGTCCCCTTGTGGGGAGAACTTTGACTACAAGGCTATTGCTGTAAGAAACCAATATCTTCCAGTTACAGTTGAAACTTAGCCCTATAAAGCATCAGAGACAAAAATTTCATCTTAAAATACTCCACTGTTGAAATCCCCCTTCCTACTAGCTTGCTATGCCTGCCAGACACACTAAATTGTTTCCATGTACTGTATTCAAATTTACATTTGGCTGAAGAAACCTTCAACCTTGTGAAAGCTGTAGATTTAGGCATTCTTTAGCAATGGCCTGATGGATAAGGTTCTCCTTCACTTGTAAACTAAGAGACTGCTAACCTGTAGCATTTAAATAAATGTTTACTTCACACTATTTACCTACATGTACTTTAAAACATGTCACAAAGTCTGTAAGTCGTAGACTGATCTCATTTCTTATTCCTCCCACCCAGTTATTAACATCACAGTTCTTGTTGCACTACCTGTATTTAGAGCAATGAATCCCAATCAAATTCTTCGTCCTCATCATCATCCATACCTGTCGCTCCTCTTGTTTGAACCATTGTCGGTTGGTTAATTGACGTTACTTTGATTCCAGGGATGGAGTGCACAGAGCTTCCACTGTAACTTGCCGAGCTACTGTAGCTTTGCTGAGAGCCTTGTAGCGGAGAGCCGCCCGGCGTAAACTGAGGATTGCTAACTTGAAGTAATCCTTGTGAATTACCCATGATATTGCTGCTATTGGACGAGGACGGACTTATCCTGCGTGCCGATGGGTTGGCTTCAGGAATGACACCTTGCTGGTGAAGATATTGACTAAACGAGAAAGCAAAGTCCTGCCACTGATTCTGATCCACGCCGATGTTTTGCAGATCTGCGCTTTTCATGCTTTCCATAAAAACCTGCCACGTACCCAGGTCAAAGTTCTGAAAACTACCAGTGCTAAGACTTTCTAAGAGAAGTTCCATGTTTTGGAGGACATTATTACTTTGTAGTTGTTGTTGCTGTTGCTGCTGCTGTTGTTGATGTTGTTGATGATGTTGTTGTTGTGGCAACGGTGTGGTGGTAGTGAGGTTCTGGCTAGCACCAAACATGCCGACACCCAAACTTCCTCCACCTGCAAATTACCACTAATTAATCCTCAATCAAGTAACAAGCCTTCAGTGTGTATTCTGTCCTATTACAACGCATGCATTAAGTAATGGTTTGTGTAAAAACTAGGCAAAAGCATAATAGGCCAGTGCAATAGTGGCAGTTTTTTTTTTTTTTTCGCGCTCATTACTCCAATCAAATTAATTTTAGAGGCCCTCATTGGCTATTCAGTATTTAAGCGTGAATTTTGAATTTTGGTTGCAAAGTTAATCCCTTGCAATCCACTTAAACTAGCTTTTCTTTCACGTATGTATCCACGGTGAGTTTAAAAATGAAATAAGTGAAGCTCAAGCAGTTTCTATGGCCCTGTTCACAAGGAATTCAAATTATTGGTAAAAGTACATTCATTCAGTAAAATATCAACCAGCGTACTCAAAATAATGTTCAAAACAAGAACGCAGGTTTCTAAAAGCTGTCACAAAAGGAAGTGACAATTAACAGCATCCTTAGGAGTGCAGTGAAAAATTCTCTCCTATGGCTTGTGTTTCTCCTCAAGTTCTTGAGTGCTTTTGGCAGTAATGACTATCAATGAGTGTTTATTAATATGTGACTGACAAAATCACTTCTTTGTGATTGGCTGAGAGCAGCCCAATCAATTGTTAATTTTTAATTTGCACAGTACTGCAAATTAATCCACATGTGTGTATTCACAATTTTCTAGGTGATGTAATAAATCAGTTATCGTGTGAAAGCTTGAGCAATTAAGGATGAACAGTACACACAGTACTTGAGAATTCTTTCAGATTGCACTGACTAAAGAGTCATGTAATTTTGAGAGAATTTTCACATCTATATACAGGCAAAAACTAACGATAGATAAATCCGACGTTTCGGCGACATCTTGGCGCCATTGTCAAGGGAAACTAATTAAATATGCGAGTTCAAGAGTAACTAAGAGTTCAGAGTTTCTAATTTGCATAGGTTAGACAAAGACTTTAGCGTGAACTGAGTCTGATTGTACATTTAAACACGGTCGTAATTGTTTAATGAGTAACATCTCATTAATGAGACAATCAAACTTGTTGTGGCATTTTTTCAACATGCTAAAACAATTGCGAAGGTCNGCTGATCTCTTCTTAAATTGTTGTCAGAGTAGCCATTTAACTCTTACAGTCATTGCTTTCTTATCTGTACCTTAAAGCCAAAAAGCAATCAAGTATAAACATGGTCTTCCTGAAGGAGATTAAGGGTTCATTTGCCAAATGCTTTGCTAACTGTTTTCTTGATCGTTTGGACATCTTTTTTTTTCTTTCTGTGTTCGTCGTGGGCAACATATAAGGCTAACTGTTGATACAAAAATAATGAAATATTATCACAAGTAAAACACATTCAGAGAAGTTTAGTGCTCTTTATAATGTCCCTTTGTGATGTGAATTACAAATGGAATTTGATGCTGACATTTTCATAGTGTACATAGCTTGACATTAAGTTTTGACACCACTTTGCACTGGAAAATTTGCTTTCAAGTGGATGAGTGTGAGAGTCAAGCTGCTGTTATGTCAATCTGTCGATGACGTGTTAAGAAAACAGTAATGGATGAATGAATGAATGCAACTGAATATGCTGTTCTTGAAGTGCGTGTAACTGATTACTGCTGGTCAATGATTACAACTAAATATGCATTTCCCAGATTCTTCTGTGTACATGCTGGTAGAACTTGTGGATTATGATGGCCTGGGATGCACATTTATTGATGCACCCTTAATTTTATACGGTCAGAGAGATGTTACGTCAAGCATCAAAATTCTTGAGCAGTAGAATTTCTGTAAATCTATTGCTTAGTGATGTTGACAATTTCTTGATGTTGCTATCAGTAGACTAAGTGATGCTAGACAAACAAAATGATATGTAGAACACAATAAGCCACTTCCTGATTACACTTCAGCTTCTTTCTTGAAGCGTGTCTTCATGCCCATCCTTTCATATGAAAATGAGATTTCATTCACATGCAAATTAAACTTGTTTTCTAATGAATGGCTGTGCACCAGGCCTCGCTTTGATAGAGAGGCTTAGATCAACTTGGAAATGGGCTTTTGCTATGTCCTGGTTTACACATACAAAGCAAGCACAAGCAGCATATGTGCAGATGGAGAAACATTTAGTTAAGGCAATAATAAACTACACATCACCACATCTGCTTATAATTCTTGCTCTTATGCTTGGGTTGTTTGTGCAAAGCAGCCCTAACTAACAATAATATTATTTGTATATTAATACCTGTCTCAATTCTGCTTATCTTTCTCCTCTATGCCACCATAAACCCTGTGAAATTTCAGTAACTAGTATTGCTTCATTGTATTCTTGTTCTTAAAGTAATTCAATTTGATTCATGCTTTAACCTGCATCATTGAGTTACATTTATGATGCATGTGGGATGTTTGGAGTGCATGGAAGAAGCTTAAGAGTTGTTGCTTGAGGCAACAGCAACAACATCTAGCCTCTTGGGTACTCTCCAAACTTCCTAAGTGCATCATAACTTGATCGTGCATTGCTAAATACATGAATCAATTTTTTTATGCCATTGCCAATAGAAATAAAATAATTTCTCTCGTAAAGTGAAGTTAACTTTGCGTACTCCGATCCAGCATGCACCAATGGATTATGCCGAGTTTCATAGTGCAGATTTGCTGAGCAATTTAATACCATTACAATGAGCCCCTCCACCCTCATCTTAATTTGCATTCTTCATAAATAACAGAATCTAAGTAGAAAGAACTATGAGGGGGACTGCTTGTGAAAAGTCCTCTGGAAAGACTGACTCAGCCAATCATAAACAATTTTATTGGTACATGTAGTAAGTTTGCTGTGATAATTATTTGAACTATATGATTTTGTCAGTGATGGTAAAATCTATTAACTAGTGTATGGAAAGAATGGAAAGTTAACTTCTTGTATCCTTGTTTTAGAAGACTATTTGCCATAAAGTTATTTATCCAGTAATTTATAGTATCACAAGACCTTACCAATAACTAGTAAGATTTTCTTATAAAAATTTTGAGGGTAGTTTCTGCAGTACTACAGGTTTATGTAAAATCATTCTTGTCTCCAGAGACTGCAATTCTCTCGGTCAGCGTAAAAAAGAAGCACTTCAGCCCAAGGCGGATATTTAAGCGTGCACGGTACTTATTTTTAATTTTCAGAGGTCCAGACTCTTGGATTGTGGCCTCTTACAAGAATGAAATGCAGAGGTTTTTGTGTAGCTTGGTTTACAGATGGATGACAGCAGCTTGCTTTATGTATTGTTATCTTAAACTTTTAACTTGAGCTATCTTTTCATATCTGATTTATAATCCAAGTCAATCATACCAGGTATGATTGACTTAAATGGTTATCACCTATAGATGTTTGTTTATGATTTAAAACTGCGTAACATACCAGGCACTACACAGTTTATCTAAGGGAGCCTGGGGCAGATCTAGGGGGGTTGGAGGGAGGCAGGGGTTTGGAGGAACTCCCTAAAGTAAAGAAAATGAGAACTATCACACTGACTTGGCCTCGGAATGCTGGAAATCCCATTTCGCAGGACCTCGATTTTTCGGGAGACGATCGTCTGGTACAGGGGACCACCTGCAGCGGACCGTATCTTGAACCCCCTTCTCTAAACTCCTGTGTCCACCCCAGGGAGCCACCATTTCCATTCTTTCCATGCATGCATGTTTGGTGCTCATTTCCACAGCTTTCAAATCGCATTTTGATAACAGCTCTTTTTTTTCACTTTTTGGACATACATGTGATATTCATCAGAAACATCTTCAGTTATTTCAGGGTAGTATAGTGTAAAGCCAGTCTGTCTTTATCTACGTTTTCTGTCATTTACACTTTGTACATTGTGACATTACTGCAATCTTGACAATAAAACAATCCCGCCCCCAACCCGAACTACTCAGTTTATATTAATATCAGTGCCAAGAGTTGTAAACCTTAGGTTGTGTGGTTTGTTTATCAACACTTGATTACTGTAATGTTCTCTTAAATTTTTTAAATGATTTGTGAAACTTAATAGTTGAATTTGTTTTCATTTTGAAAGCTGTGTAGGAAATTAAATATTTTTTATTATTTTTGTATAAAAAAGAGAAAATCTTCCGGAACCAACTTGTCAGGAAGATATTTGGTCTGTTGGTGATGAATCTCCAGTGAGGAGTTGTCAAAATAAATTGCCCCAACGTTTTGTATTTAGCTGTCTTGTTTGTGCTTTTTTTTTCTGTCACCTGAGACCAATATACTGTTTGTTATGGCAACTAAAATTAAGTTCCTTTTCATGGCCTACCTTTGACTGAGGGGGGTGCGGGGGGCAAGAGAGTTTGATAGGCACTGTTCCCCTTGGCCATCAGCCCTAGTGAGGACATGCAGCCCCCTTACCAGCAGTAGAGGAACTGCTGGTAAACAACACTAACAGGAGTGCTTGACAGGTGCTCTTGGTCAGATGGGGAATGGCAATGAACGTTACGAGCTGCAGCAGCAGCTCACTGTTCTCGAGTTTCATCTTAGTAATTCTGTGAAGAGAAAACACTTCCTGTAGTCAGCCATGCCACTCCCCAGATCCCTTATTTCTGTGAGACAGAAACATGAGCAGCTTGGAGACAATAGTTGTCAACCAACTGACCAATCCAGTTCTGGCCCTCTCTCTGCCACGCAACGCTCTCTGTCACGCGACGCTCGTTGCGTGACAGAGAGAGGGCCAGAACTGGACTAACTGACCAGTTGATTGGTCAATCGGTCAATGAATCAATCATTTGGTAAGTCAGTCAGTCAAACATTCAGCTGAAGTTTTTTCGGCATAGCCTGAATCTGGTTGCATTTGTCTCAATTTTGTAAGTGTGCCTCCAGTCCACACTTAAAGTAGCATGGCAACCTTTCTCGAACAACTTGCCAACTCTGCAATAACAGTAGTTTAAAACTTGGAACTGCAAAAGTCGTCCAGTTACAGGCACCAATGCCTGTTTGGACTGAAACAAGCCTTCTTGATGGGAAACACACTCCACCTCCAGTTCATTGTGTTTATTAATTTATAGTTTACTTTTAACAGGAGACTAAACAACAATCATTTTCTGCTTGTTCAGTGTTCGTAGACAAATTGGGCATCAAATGTACTCTAGGAAAACAGCACTTAAGAAAAGAACTGTTTTGAGTGAAGCCAGGTTATAAAAAAAATCCATGAAACTAAAAGTTCCTTTATTAATAGGAGTTTGTATCCATTATTTTACAGATATTTCACAGCTGGTTTGTTTTTGCTTGCCCTACCAGCTTTTCTTCCTTCTGTGATTTTTTTCTTTTTTTTTAACCCAAAATAAAGGTGGGGGGAGGGGGTGGGGAGAACTGGGCCTTCCACTAGATCTGCCACTGGTTATGACTGGAATAATGGGATGGTCTAAAACGCAGAGTCCAAAGGCAATTTGTTTTTATCAAGAGCCTTTTGGAATACAATCATCTTACAATGTCCACTATGTTTTATGGGCAACTATAACTTGACACTTGGACATGCAACAAGCCAAGCTCTTTTACAAAAGCACCTTTTCATAGAGTTACGATCAGCTATGTCCTGTTACAAATGCACGAGAGTTTCACGTTAAATAACAAGAGCAGAAGCTTGGTACGGAGATGTGGTCTTAGAATTACATTCAATATCTATCTGAGATGACATGAAATTATGACCAGCAGCACTACTCCTCTTTACAACTAGCAAAGCATATATTATACCCGTAATATTATTAACTTATTCAATCCTAAACAGCAGTCGAACGTTCATAGGTGGTGTCAGAAATGAGGAAAGATGGCCACAATATTAGTTGGGACATTGATTAAGTGGGCAGCTTTTCAAATTGGGAACTAAAAACAGCTTGTGTAACTATGGTCATCAAACAGCTATATATACTGGCACCGCAGCCTGAGAGAAGGTTAACATTTGGGCTCCTGTGTGTAAGCAAGGAAACTGCAAGAATTTGGGTAAAAGTGAGGAACAGCTCCCCCTAAAAAACTGTCAGTTGATGGACAGACAGTTGACTGTTGGCTCACAGAGGGCTGACAGAAACCAAAGTACAGCTGCCAGAGATTTATCCAACAGATGGCTGTCTGTTGGCCAACAAAGCCCAGCGAGTTAACTGACAATTGTTGGCTGACAGGTGGATGACAGTAGACTCAGTTCTTTCAGAGAGCTATTCTTCACAGTTACCAAAAATTTGTCAGCATACAAGAAGCAGAAGTGTCTGATTATTATTACAGTTTTGCCTCTCACAAGGAAGGCAACAAGTGTGAGCTTGCTCACAAGCAAAGATGTCACTGAGTCTATCATCATTCAATCTTCATTTTGTCTTTTCTTATCCTGGACACACACAGGTCAGTTTCAGTCATCTGTATTAAGAATGTCTAGTTCACTCTGTCATTGTGTGGCAGCTGAATAGTCAGGGGAACAGCCTTGATACATCATACACCTTATTCCAAAATGGCTGCCATTTTAGTGTTCTTTTGTTTACTTACAAATTAGCCCTTGCTTGTTTAAGGGGAAATATTCTTTTGAATTTCGAGTTTAAGAACGAGGCAACTAGGGCTAATTTGCAAGAAAACAAAAGAATACTTACATGGCAGCCATTTTGAAATAAGGTGTATTAGATGTCCGACTAAGCCAGTTTAGTCATCTATGAAAAATCTTCCAAAAAAACAAGCAATCAAGCATTTTAGATTTTCTCTTTGTCAGATTACATCAATACAGAGGAAAAGATAGTACATCATCACAGAGCCATAGAGGTGCTCCATCCTTTCATTTCATGCCTGGACTTTCAGCGAGACTTTGGCCTTGTTACTGTAGCCAGCCAACGGTTTTAGACCAGCCCATATTTTTTTTGGTATGCCTTCCTTAGAAGATTCCTCTGACCAAAGTATACCACTTCAAATTTAATTTAGTGTGGTGTCTTGTTGCTGCTTTCCAACAAAATGTCTGTGTCCCAGAGAACTACTTGCATTTTCCCTCCTTCTCTTGTTATAATATTGTGAAGGACCAGCCTTCTCGTGAGAAATGTCTCTGTCATGACTACCTTGAGTTTGTTTCCTTGTCGAGCCTGCTACTTCATTATGTCTACCCTTGGTGCCTGAATTTCTGCCTTGTTGCTGCGGCCAGCCAGCTGCTTCATGGTTCTGTCCATGTCTGTATTGTTGTTTAGTCTCCTGTAATTTGCCTTCAGAGTTTTTCCTTTCAGGGTTATAGTCTGATACCGAGTGCGCACATTTAGAAGGAAGAGGATCATTTACGTCAATGATAGACAATTCACTGACTCTTGTCTTGTGCTGTTCAACAAGATTTGGCAATCCCGATGATGAGTTGTTTACTCTGTGAGTTGCCTCTGCCATAGTATTTGTTTTATTATCTGTAGAAGGCTCTAAGCCCTGAGGAATTTCATCAGTTCTGTTCTCCCCCAAATTGGACAAACCACCGGAGTTAACTCTCTGTGAGGATTCTGTGTTAAATTGTACTTTTAACTTCTCTCCTGATGAGACTGCCTAGAACAAAACACACAATACTGAAACCTGGCTTACACTGAGACAAACTCCTCTACAAATTATTTCCATCATACATAAGCCACTATAACATTGGAATAACTGGAAGACACTGGTAAAATTAATCTGTCCTTTAAGTTTATTGATGGACAGCCATTAGATAGAAAAGAAATATGACGTAGTTCTTATTTTTGTCAAGACCTATTCATTTGAAAGGTCAAGTGGCCAACATACATGTAAGTGAAGTTAATGTTAAGTCTGCATACCAGCTAGGTGGCCAATCAAGCCAGAGCTTATCCCAGTTTGTGTAGTGTGAAGCGACTAGGAGTAGTTCTAGTCCCCCCCTGGATGGGATGCTAGTCCATCACAGGGTTACTCTGCAGCATTAAGTTCACCGGTACCCATTTATACACCTGGGTGGAGAGAGGCACTGTGGGAATAAAGTGTCTTGCCCTAGAACACAACACAATGGCTCGAGCCCAGACTGCTCGATCCAGAGATGAGTGCACCAACCACAAGGCCACCATGCCTCCCATCCAACATACATATAAAACCGTGCAAATTACAAGTGATGTAACTCTACGAGTCCTATCAATTTTAGTGATGTTTTATCCTCTATCTCAAAGGATTAAGCGAAGTGTGTTTATTTCAAGCAACAACTCATACCGCAGAACTCCCTAGATCTGTTGGTCTTCTTAAGGGATGCATTCCTGGGAATCCATTAGAAACAGGTCTTGTGATAGGTTTGTTCAGTTGAGGGTTGCCTGACAAAGAAGAGAAAAGAAAAAGCCATCAATTGGTAAAGCGAGGGACTCTGAGGGGAGCTGCAACTAGAAAATTGTTAGGCACATCACGATTGTCCTTTTGTTACAACAGCAAGTAAGAAAGCCATTCAATTGTTTGTCACTATTTTAGGCCAACAATTTGGTACCAAGTGAAAAAGAAAGGGTGAATTGGTTGGCAAGATCTCATCAATCTACAATCCGAAACTTATCACACTTTCCGTAGCATTGAGCGACTAGGAGTATTTCTCCCCCCCTCTTTGTGGGATGGTAGTCCATTGCAGGGAAGCCCCCCCCCCCCCCCCAGCATTAAATTCCCTGTCAGCCACGTATACACCAGGGTGGAGAGGGGCACTGTGAGAGTAAAGTGTCTTGTCCATGAACACACCACAATGATCCCAGGGCCCCAGCCAGGGCTCAAACTCAGACCACTTGTTCCAAGTCCAGCCTGCTAACCATTAAGGTTGGCTGGCTGGGCATAATTATCAAACTACAAAATGTACCTTAACCTTGGTATTCTGGTGATCTACAGTAAACGATACTGACCTGCGTCAACTGCTTTCGACCACAAAATACTGGGATCATCAATCATTGGCATCTGACCTGACAGTGATTTGCATTCAAATCCTGGAGGAGGACGAACTGTGCAGAAAGAAGTTGAAAGCAGGACTCACATCAAACTCTTATCTTCCAACCTGTTAGTAGGCAGCTACATGTATGCGTAGATTGTTTTTAATTTTATTTCAATATTGTTATAAAGGAACATGGTCTATGTTTGGTATATGGACCTGCACCTGCTCTTAATAAATCCCACTGAACACCTAAGAGTGCAAATTTGTTGGACACCTCAGAACATGAAGAAAAATAATACTACATAAAATATAATGGAAACTTTGAATATACAGATTTTGCTTCTAACCTGGAATTTAGAGATAAAAATTGCACTTGCCAAATGGGCAAGTGATTATTGGTTTGCTCTTGCTTAACACATTCACCTGCACAAGTGGGCATGACCGAATTTTTTTTACTGTCAACTATTGTATGAAAGATACAAGTACTACTTAAGGCAAAATGCCATCAGCTAAAAAAATATACAAACCAAAGAAATTGCTGTTTGGTGAATACACACCTTGGAATGAGCTTTGTGGCTGTTGTGATGAAAATGACCAGTTAGAGGAAGTTGGTTCTGTCACAAGGGATGTTGAGGGAGGCCAGGAATTTTGTGGTTGAGATAAAAGAGAATCTGGAAAACAGTGTTATCATAAAATTGAGTTTCTATCCTTTTGCTACTGCAAATGATTTGTTAATTACTGTTTTATGATCTTGAAACAGATTGGAACAAGTGCTAGCCAGTACCAAAGAAAAGTTCATGTAACTAAAGAGGAAGATTCACAGTTCACATCAGAATTCTTATTATATCAGTCTGAAAGGTAAACATACATGTAACCACATGGTTGGTGCAAAGGTAAATCAAAAAAATTTCTGATGGCATCAAGTGAAGAAAAGCATCTCTTAAAGTGCCTATGAACTGAAAATAATTGCTGCTTATTTGAAAGGCTTTTTAAAATGCAGAACACTGCTCCAATAGTTCTAGAGATATTCTTTATTCAATATTTTACTGTTTTAGCTGCACAACTGATGACGTCATCACTTTGACTAATTTGCATAATACAAAAATGTCAATATCTCTTAAATGAAAAAAGATATTCCAAAAAGGAAAATGCCATTCTTCTGTATGTTGAAAAGCCTTTCAAATAAGCAGCAATTATTTTTCAGTTCATAGGCACTTTTAAAAGGATATCACCACTGACAGCATTTTGCTCCACTTCAGAGTGAATAATTAGTCAGAGACGATGGAATTCCATGCATTTCCAGGGTACAATTGTAAAATTTTTAGGAACCAAACCTCAAAAATTTTAGTGTAAATGTTTGACAATATTATGCTTTTTTGGGCAACCAAGTTACTAAGAGTCCGACTATGTGAAACACAAGCAACCTTACTGCTTTCTAAAATAACAAAATTCAAGGAGTTTTCCTGGATTTCCAGGATTGGTGCCAGCCATGCCATTTCTACCCCTGTGTGGTCAGTCAAAACCCTAACATTAGTGAGTGGAGGAAGGGGGGGAGGCATCTGTCATACATAAAAGCTGCCTACATTTCAAGGTTCCTTGCTATAACTGCAGTACTATTGGTATTACACTCTATTTTGTTGTTCCTGACTACTGTACCTGAGAAACTTATGTTAATGTTTGGTAGAAGTGCTCTGAGTCCATCTTGCCAGTTTCTGATATCATCACCCTTAGAGAAGATCATAGTACAATACACAGTCATCCACAGGATCAAGGACAAAACCAGGTTTGTTACAAATTACTTAACCCAAGCATTATCACTAAACTGTTGGCAAGGTATGCTTACTAAATGCTGCATTTCCATGTATATTATTGTTACAAGCAAAATATTTGCTCCATGCCACGAAAAGTGAATAATTTCCCTGTTTTCAAGGACAATTTGCTAACCGACAGCTACTTTGACAACCTAGATTTTTTTAAAAAAGTATATTCGAAGATGTGATTGAATGATCATTGCAGTTATACACACAACTTAAGCAGTTGTGGAATGCCTGAAAAAATTCAGGCCTGAACAGTATTCAAACCCATGACCTCCACAATTCCACTGCTCTACCTACTGAGCTATCAAGCCAACTGGGAGCTGGTCACTTTGCGAGTTTGTTATATACCCGTAGATGGTGAAGAATACAAGTGAATATGAAAGATCATATAACTATTTGAACTAAGGAGAAAGATATGAAGACCTGAATGATCCTATTCATTTTAGGTTGCTTGGCCAGCACTTACATCTGTTGGAAATGCTGATAGAAAACTGTGTGTATGTGAAGCTGTAGAAATGTGTTGTGCTGAATCAGGTTCTGTTGTTTTCTCTTCCTCTTGCAGAAGATCTGCTAAGCCTTTACTACATTCATTCCATGGGTCAAACCCTAAATTAATAAAAAGAGAAAATGCCAAGATAAAAGTTAGTAATTCACCCTTAACTGATCTAGGAATAGATAGCAGAGAAGCATGAAGAGCAAACCAATTGAGATTTGGTACAAAGCCTGTGTCACATGGGTCAGGATCACAGACATAGAAGGCAATAGTGGATGACCTTGTATGTGTGTGTTGCCCATGGGACGTAGAGGAATAGACGATGAATTGGCACAAACATAGCTCATTGGTACCAAATTAAGTGGGTGGTAAGAGAGGCCTGTGTGTTCAATCCCTGGTGCTTGAGAATTTGTTAATTTGTTTCTAAAATAGCTTCATCACTGATTCATATTTTACTTAGAAATAATGCGATTGACCAATGAGATCAATCTTGTCTGGTACTTCTGAAAAAACTGCACACATGAGGTGACTTGCTTTAGAGATTGGTCACAGCAAAGTTGCCTTGTGTGTGCCGAATGTAAGTTACACATACCTAAATCATCCTCTCCATAAACTTTCAGATGCAAATTGGCCAGCCCCAAACCACTACAGAGATCAGCAGTAAACAAGCTGGAAGTACTGAGAAGGGACAATGAACTTCTTAGTAATTCCCTCTGATGAATAACAACACTGAAGTTGTATGCTAC